AAAATCATAATTAGCTTAGAAAGTAAAATTTTAATTTTTTTAGAGTTTCCTCCCTTTCTATTGCAAAGCTCCCATATCTTATTTGTCGATCATGTCAGATATATCATATATGTCAGACATATCAGAAATGTTAGATTTGTTAGATTTGTCAGATCTGTCAGATTTGTCGATCATCTGCGCTACATAGGTCCTATCATATTTTATCCGTTCACATTACTCCCCGCTTAAGATTTTTGCTCCTGCAGAAATGTCAAGAGTTTTCAATAGAAGAGCTTGATATTTGCTAAACTTTAGTTGACGAATCATGATCAAGGTTTAGCATTGAGTAGTGAAGATTCGTTGGACTCCTAAGTTTTCAAAGAGGCAATAAACTCGGATAGCAATTCGGTAATAATGTTTCATGAGCGTCGCCATTTGTAATGTCCGTTGAGCAGAAGAAGTAGTTGCGACATCAATAAGTTGACCTAAATAATAAGCATTTACAAGAGACAAAGAATGATTCCTCATACGTATAGAGTGAAGTAAAGTTTGATATGTCAATTACACTTTTTGTATTAATGTTGTATCAGTTTAATAAGGTGGCGTCATCGGTTGAATTTCTTCGTTGAAGAAGGTTATAGAATCTTGAAGTTCTTTTACAGCTAATTTCATAATTCATAGACCATTAATAATTTTTCAGTCGCATTCAGTCGCAATATTTTATAGTAATTTTATTATAAAATATTTTCAGTCGCATTCAGTCGCAATTTATTAGTAGTCCACGAATTATGAAATTAGCTGTAAGACAATTTCACTGTTAATTGATTCTATTACTATAGCAGTGATCTAAAAGGTATTATAATAACATATACTATTTATAATAATTTTTAATATTGATCATCATTCGATAATAATCTGAGGTTCCCATTCAGTTCATTCTAAATATGGTTTCAAAAGATCTGCATGTGTAGGGTTCTTTCTAACTCGTCTATCTAAAGCACGAAGTTTATAAGTACCAGGTCTCACAATATCATGAATATAAAAAGGTCTATCAAATTTATCTTTAAATTTGTTTCCATAAATGTGTGATTGTGTTACATTAAATAATAAAACTTTATTCCCAATTTGATAAGAAATTCCAGGTCGATCCTTATTGTAACGTTCCTGTTGCTGTTGTTGTCATTGCATTATATTCTGTTGTGCATTTAATCATCACTGTTATAATTGCGATGTGATTATCTGCTGGTACTTTTCCATAGTATTTGATAGTTACTAATAGGGGAAGGTTATCGCAATTGTAAATCTATTGGTAGAACTGCTTTCCGTTCATATAATAATTCAAATGGCTCAAATTTCGTTGTTCCTTGCTGGGCTGTACGATATGCAAAAAGTGCTGAAATTAGATACGTATCCTATTCACCATAGTGTTGTTCAGCATACTTTGCCAAAATTGTGCATAATGTTCTATTAAAATGTTCTGTCAAGCCATTAGTCTGAGGGTGATATGGCGAAGGTAATCTATGTTTAGTTCCAACTATGTGTAATAGTGCAGTGATTAATTCATTTTGAAACGACGTTGCTCTATCAGTTAATATCTCTTTTGGCGTTCTGTGTCGACAGATGATTTTATTATACATAAATAGTGCGATTGTTTGGGCAGTACAATCTGGTGTGGCATTAGCTTCAACCCATTTAGTTAAATATTCAGTTGCTACAATAATATACCGATTTCCTTTAGTAGTACGTGGAAGCAGTCCTACATAATCAATTCCTACACGATCAAAGGGTTGTCCAACGGTATAGGATGCAGGGGTTTCTTGGGTTTTGGCCTTCCTTGTCGTTGGCATACATCACATGTTTGTATCCAATTTTCAATGGTTTTGTATATACTTGGCCAATAATATCAAGAGGCAATCTTGTTATACGTAATATCTTTTGCTAAATGTCTTCCTTAAGTTTCATTATAGATATTATATAGAATACATTCGACTTCATTTGATTTTACTACAAGTAATAGTTGAGCAGATTGTTTGCGATTATGTATATAAAGTTGTTGGTTTTGTACAAAATAATGTTGTGCTTATTTTTGAATTGCGAGTTGTTGTGAAGGAGTAAAGTTTGAAGGGTATGTAAGTTGGGTAAGATATTGAAATAATTGATGATAAGTTTTGAATTCCATGTTATTGAGCTGCTAGTTACACTGCTAGCACTTTCGCTTTCACTCTAAAAATTCTAATAATTAATTAGTTTACTGTAAAGGGAGTCGAGACAATGCGTCTGCGTTTGAGTGTAATTTTCCTTTTTATATCGAATCTGATAAGGGAATTCCATTATATGAATAATCTATCTCATAAATTTGCGAGGTGGATCTGGCTTATTAAAAAGCCATTGTAAAGCTGCGTGGTTAGTAATTAATTCAAACTGCTGATATAATAAATAAGGTCAAAAATGTTCCATTCCTCATACAGCAGCAAGACATTCTAATTCAGTTAGAGCATAGTTTCGTTCAGCATCACTTATACTTCGACTAGCATAAGTAATAACACATTCCTTATTATCATCATTCAATTATACTAGTACTGCTCTAAATCCAATATACGATCTGTTAGTAAATAATAAGAATTTTCATTTGAAGTTGGGGTATATTAAGACTGGTGCAGTAATTAAACAAACTTTCAAATGTTCTAATGCTTTTTGCTGTGATTCAGTCCAAATATAGGGTGCGTCTTTCATAATAATAAATGTAGAGGTGCAGCTGATGTAGAGAAGTCTTGAATAAATCTCCTGTAATAAAATGCAAGGTCTAAAAATCCTCGAAGTTCAGTAATATTCTTTGGAATAGGAAAATTCTTGATTTTGTCAATTTTAGAAGAATCAGAAGAAATTTCTTGTCCACTAATAACATGTCTCAAGAATGCTAATTCTAACTTAGCAAAATCACATTTATCTTTTCCAAGTTTTAATCCAGCGTCCTTTAATCTTTTAAAAATTAATTGCAAATGCTGTATGTGTTCATCAAAGGTAGTTGAGAAAATAATAATATTATCGAGGTATACAGCTATAAATTATCCAATTTTTTCTCTAAAGATTTTATTCATCAGACATTGAAAGATCGCAGAGGCATTTATTAATCCAAATGGCATGACTTTAAATTCATAAAGTCCTTAGCTGGTTATAAATGCTGTTTTAGCCTGATCATTTGGATCCATAGCAACCTGCCAATATCCGCTTGCTAAATCTAACATTGAGAATACTTTGCCTTTTCAAACATATCAAGTAATTCATCAATGCGAGGTAAAAAATATCCATCCCATTGGGTAACACTATTCAGTTTCCTATAATCGATACAAAATTGAAGTTTCCCATTCTTTTTCCTTACTAGAATGACTGGTGAGGCCCAAAGGCTCTCAGAACGTTGAATTAAATTATATTCCAACATTCTATCAACTTCCTCTTTAATAAATTCTTGTTCTAAAGGAGCTACTCAATATGCACGCTATCATATTAGCATCGGATTTTCTACTGGAATGTGATTGTAGTATATCCTAATTGAGATAAGTCATTGACAAATGCACTTTCATTTTTATTGAGGAATCTGGTGATTTGTAGTTGTTGGTGCTCATTCAGGTATGAGTATGTATTTACTTGGGTTGGAGGTTCATCAGGAATGTTTTGCAATAATTGCTAGTGATTCCATTCCTTTTTACAAAGTTGGCAAATATCATCACTTTTATCTAATTTGTTATGACACCAATATCGATTTTCTGGTTCTTGCCAATTGAATTCCCACTTAGTTTCTTTAGGTGGTTGAACTTTGAATTTTTGTTTTAGATATTCAAAGTATTGGGGTGAATACTTTTGTCCTTCTACAGAAATTTGTTTGAAACTACTTTCAGCTAAAAGAGCTAAATCATCTTGGTCTTCAAATACTACATAATGTCGTTAGGCTATTAATTCTTCGTCCTCATATTCTTCATTATTATCGACTGATTTATTAGTGATAACTACTGGTTGTTGAAAATGGTCGAATTGTGGTTTTTTCACCCAAGTCATTGGTACTTGATGTTCTTTATTATTCCAATAAAATGTAAATTTTTGATAGTCCCAATAAAGTTGTCCTCGGCATTTTAAAAGCCAGTTATTTTCTGCTACAATATAATAATAGGTCGATTTAGTGATATCTACATTGATAAAAATTTCTATCTCATTTAATTGTAAGGGAATATTCTTAACTCATTTTAAAGGTCAAGATCGTCCACCTTGTATATTAATCATTGTTATTGTAGATGCGAATTCAATTTTTTGTCCTAATTGTTGTAAAAATGCTTTAGACATTACACTTCCTGCTAATCCAGAATCTAATATTAAATAAATTGGTTTACTGTTCACTGTGGCACTACAATAAATGGCTTCTACTACTTTTGGTGGTTCTAAGGGGTTTATATATTTGTTAGTACGCTCACCCTCTAAAGGTACAGTCAATAGTTTAAAGACCGCGATGAAGATGAGAAGGTATTACTATTAATCACTGGTGGCGGATTTGGTACTGAAAAGGTCATTGACGTTTAAGGGGAGGTGTGAACGTTGAACTATACATTGGCGTAGTTTGAGAGAATGCAGCACATTGTCTATTATTAACATTATTATACCCGTTTGATGTATTCCGATTGGTATTGTTATTTTTATTTGGGCATAATCTTCCCTAATATCCAAACTGACTGCAGAAAGGATATGGTCCTCTAGGTAAGATGTTACAGTTCCTAGTTATATGTCCTGTTTGTTGGAAAATATGATAACTAACTCTTACGTTTAAGGTATTATTTGGAGAATATCGGTTGTTTCCTCTATTATTTTGGTTGTTTTGGAAATTTCTCTGTTGAGTACAGTTCCTAACAAAATATCCAGTTTGTCCACAGTTATAACAACTTGAGGTACTCTGATTATTGTTGTTACGATTACTATTATTATTACCACTATTATAACTATTGGTATTATTATTATTTCTCTAGTTATTATTAGTATTCGCAGGGTAAGGAGGTGTAGTTTGAGGTCGTGGAGTAGTATTAGAGGTGGTCAGAAGTTGTTTGAACTCTTTTAGTAATTTTTCATTGTTTTTATCAATGAGTTGTTGCATGTTTGAAGTAGTATTGAAGGTTTCAGGAATATTATCCTCATTCTGTGTCAAATATGCTTTGCTTAAGAAATAATCTGAAAGTTTACTATCTTTGGATAATACTGCTTCAACTGCCTGTGCTCGATCAATAGCTTCCTCTAAGTCACGTGATGTGGCAGCAGCGATTGCAGTATGAAATTCAGGTCAAAGTCCTTATATGAATTGTTCAATCTTTTCATTCTCAAGTGTATTATAATCTGGATCTATTTTAAGGTATAATGACTCGATATCGGCAGCATAATTCTCAACTGATTGTTCAGGGCATTGTTTACATTGTTTAAGTGCAGAACGCCATTGTGTTCATCGATGAGTAGTGCAATAATGTTTCAAGAAATGATAAACAAAGGATTGATGC